CTCAATGATGAATGTAATCATAATGTATACCTAAAGTGTACCAATAAATTTAATGCCAATATTATTTTAAATCAAAAATATTAACAACTGGGCAAAGGATTTAGCTCAGTGGCACCACACCTGCCTTACAAGCACAGATCCTGAGTTCAATCCCTGGTACTGCAAAAAAAAAAAAAAAAAAAAAAAAAAAAAAGAGGTAGTTATTTCTAGTGGTATATAAAAAGCTAAAAAAAAATCTAATGAACAACAACAACAAAAAAAAAACCAGTAACAACTACTTCATAGACCTGTATGCCAATAAGTCAAAGAATTCAGAAAAATAAATAAATTTTAAATAATATGAATATCAAAGCTGAACCAAAATGATTTAAAAACCCAAATAATCCAACAGACAAGGAAATTGAAGCAGTAATAAAAAAAATCTACTAAGAAAAGCCCAAGACTGAGTGATTTCACTGCTAGCTAAATCCTTCAAAAATTTCTGAGGAGTTCTAAGATCAATACTCCTCAAGGTTTTTAATCAAATTGAAAGGGAAAGTGCATCTTTAAAGTCATTAGTAAAAACTACCATTATCCTGATTCCCAAACCAGAAAAGGATCCAACCAAAAGAGATAACTACAGACCAATTTCTTGACTGAAGATAGATGCAAATATCCTCAACAAGGTACTGACAAAGAGAATGCAACAAATCCTCAAAATCATTATACAATATGACTGAGTAGGATTCATCCCAGGGATGAAAGGATGGTTCAACATACACAAATTAATAAATATAAATGTAATACAACATACAAACAGGACAAAAATCGCATGATCAATAGATACAGAAAAAGCCTTTGACAGAATTCAGTATCTTTCCATAACAAAAGCATTGAAGAAAATAGATATAATCTCAATCTGATATATAATAGATATATCTCAATCTGATAAAAGTCATTGAGCCAAATTTACTGTCAACATCATCCTAAATGAAGAGAAGCTGAAAGCTTTCCTTCTAAACTCAGGAATAAGAAAAGGATGTCCAATATCACCACTCCCGTTCAACACAATACTCAAAACATGAGTAAGAACAATTAGATAAAAAAAGAGAGAAAATGGGTAAATATAGAAAAAAGTCAAACTACCATTATATGCAAATGACATTGATCTACATCCCACAAAATCCAGCAAAAGACTCTTACAAATAGCAAATTACCAGTCCAACTTTTTAAATACAGAATGATAAAAAATTACCCATTTTTCATTAATTTTATAATATAACAGAAAATATTAAAACGACATTTTTATCAACTGGTTGAAAAGACACCTGCCCAAGTGATTCTCATGATAGTCAATATGTAAACAAACATGATGCCCAAGTGACACTCAGGGTAAACAGTTAAGTGGTTAATAACCAAATTCAGTAATGTAGAAATAAAATCAACATAAAAAAACCAATAGCACTTCTGTATACTAAATGATAAACCCACTGAGAGAGAAATTAGAAAAAATGCCGTTCACAATAATACCAAGAAAAATTAATTACATAAGAAGATTAACAAAAATAAAGAGGTGAAACCTACAGCATCCTGAAAACAGGAAATCAAAGAGGATATCAAAAAATGGAAAGAAATCCCCTATTCCCAGATATCCAGAACCAATATAGCCCAAGTGGATATACATCCTAAACTATTATAAAGATTTAATGCTATCCCTACCAAAATCTCAATAGCATTCCTCACAGAACTAGAATAAACAGTCCTAAAATGTATGGAACCAAAAAAGATCTAGAATAGCTAAAGCAATTCTGGGCAACAAGGGTAAGGAAGGAGGCATCACAATCCCCGATTTCAATTTATACTAAAAACAGTGATACAAAACAGTATGGTATTGTCAAAAACAAGAAGGAAAAAATGAGAACCAAGATCTGTCATGTAAAGGTACAAGATCCCAATAATGAATGTAACTGCACTGTATATCTAAAATGTACCAATAAACTCAATGAGGAAAAAAAAAAAGAAAGAAAAAGAAACACACACAAATTTGTAGATCAATGTTAGCAGAAAAGAGGATGCAGAAACAACTCTATTCATACTCAATGTATTAATTACTTTTCTCACATTGCTAAGACAAAATACCCAACACCCAGGATTAAAGGGGACAGAGTTTATTTATCTCACAATTTGCAGAAGTTTCAATCCATAATCAGCTGGCTCCAAGGCAAGGTGGATGGCAGACAGGCATGGCAGAGGAGTAACACCCAAGGTAGCAAAGGCAACTAAGGACCTTAACAGTAGTTTTCTGCCCCTTTTTCTTATTCAGATTACTTAGCAGGAGTAGCACTCACACCCTTAATCCTAGTGTCCTTGGGCCTAGTATTGCACCATGAATCAAAGCCCCACGCTAAGATCACTTAAGGCTTTGGGGTATACCTAAACACAAGTCATAACATTCAGCTACCTTACCTTTGACAAAGGATCAAATACTTTTGCTGGAGGAAAAATAGCCCTGTTAACAAACAGTGCTGGTAAAACTGGCTATCCACAAGCAAAAGAATGAGCCTGGGTCCATACATCTCACTACGCACTAACCTAAAATCAAAATGGATCAAATATCTAAATATTAAAAAAGAAGGGGGCCAGGGATTTAGCTCAGTGGTTCCACTGCCTGCCTCACAAGCACAAGGTCCCAAGTTCGATCCCTGGTACCAAAAAAAAAGAAAGAAAGAAAAGAAAAGATTTTAAAAACATCATGTACATGTACCAACTTCCCATGATGAATGTAATCATTATGCACTACAAAAAATTATGTACGAATAAAAAAGGAGATGCTCTATCCTGTTTATATATCAATGATGAAAATTTAGAGAAAATGAAAAAATGATAACCTAGATAACTGTAATTGACAAAGGTAAATCTATGAGAGGTTTACAGCTCTCCACAACCGAAATTAAAAAGGTAAATCTATAAAAGAAGCAAAATGGGAAAAGATCCAGTCTGCATAGATAAAAAGTTAGGGTTAGGGAGCAGCAGGTACATTATATTTCTTTTTATACTGAAGGACAGAAAGAAGAATATGTATAAGCACCAACACAGATTTGGTAATAGATTTCATAATGGAAAGGTATGAAATTTTCTGATAATTTCTACTTTCTCAGTAATACTAAAAGCAAGAGAGCTGAGGATGAGTCTGGGGAAGGAGATCTGGAGGCTTCAGAAGAAAGTATGAAATGATTGCTGCTGAATGGCAACTCTGTGAGTGCTTATTTTTAAGCTTTTCTTCACCTCTTTATGTTGTAAACTTTTAGAGGGAAGGGCAGGGGATTTAGCTCAGTGGTTCTGCCGCCTGCCTCATAACGACTTGAATTCAATCCCCAAAACAAAATAAAACAAAAAACTTTTAGAGGGAAGAAGCTATGCTTATTTTGTTGTTGTTGTTGTTGTTGTTGTTGTTGTTCTATATGTAGAAAAAAAGGAATTTACAAGGACTCAATACCAAAGACATAAAGAAGCTATGGCGAATTAGTCCAAGTGGAGAGAGCAACCTGAGCAGTTGTGTTTATGTCTCAGAAACCGTTGGCGCTTGCAGTGTGGCCAAAGAGCAGACTGCAGAATTCAAAGAAAAGTAACAACCAAGGAACTGATTACCATAATGAGGTCTCTTGGACAGAATTCCAGAAGCAGTTATAGGACATGATTAAAGAAGAGGATGCTGATGGTAAAGGTACAAGTGATTTCCTAAATTCTGACAGTGGTGGCAAGAAAAATGAAAGACACCTACAGTGAAGAAGAAATTAGAGAAGCACTCTGTGTGTTTGACAAGGTAACAAAGGTTATATTAGTGCAGCAGAGCTTTGCCATATGATGACAAACCTTGGAGAGAAATTAACAGAAGAAATGGTTGATGAAATGATCAGGAAAGCAGAGATCGATGGTCAAGTAAACTGTGAAGAGTTTGTACAAATGATGGCAGCAAAGTGAAGACTTGTATTGAAAGTGTTAGATTTCTTCTACAAAATGTTTATTTGCCTTTTGTTTGTAACTTATCTGTAAAAGGTTTTCCTCTGCTGTCAAATAAATACTCATAGGGACTGAATGTATTAGGACTTCATTCCTTTATGTTTTCTTTCCTTATGTTGCTGTCATTGCCCTCAAACCTTATTTTTGAAAACTGATGGTAACATGTTGGCTTACACTGGATACAAGCATACCTAAACTTAGATGGAGTTGATCAAAAGAAGGAACATCTGGGTTATGCCTTTCTAAAAGTAGTTTTCTATAGGAATTCTTAGCATGTTGTTGAAATGTGGAGTTGTAACTCTACACAGACCATGGACAGTAAACAATATGTATATAAAAGTTGGACTATTGCAAAATAGGTACATCATCTGGGTACTCATATGCCTTTTTTTGCACTGTTGGTCTTGTACCAGAAACATTTTATTTTATTGTCTTTTGCCTTTTAAACTTTGTTCGGCCACTTAAAGAAAATCTGCTTATGGTACAGTTTGCCTCAAATTTATTCCAAGTTTTATATGTGTTTTCCAATTTAAAACTTTACAATTTATTCCAGAAAGAAAGAAAGAAAGCAAAGCATGGTGGGCATAGTGGCAGCATTCTGGGAGGGTGAAGCAGGTTCAAGATCACTTAGGAAAAATTATTGTAAATACAGGCACCTGCAAATTTTTAAAAAGTTTCCAAGTGTACAGTTCTCTATGTAAGCATAATTCCATTTTCCATTCTTCTGAACTAAATGCAGTTGTTTTAACAAGGCAACGCACATTGAATACATAATTACTTGCTACAGTATTTAACAAATTATTTGTAATTACTGATTTGCCTGTCTATATACCTCCTCTAAACTAAAGTTCAAATGCTGTATGACTAGGAACTATATCTATCTAGGTCATCTTTTATCTCCAATTTGAGATACAGCAAGAGGCCAATAAATATATGCTGAATCAGTGAAAGTCCAAGCACCCTGTCCAATGATTATGAAGAACTCTGGCAATGCCACTTACCTGTGAGATCCAGAGTTCTATCCACAAAGACAATAGATGCCCTGCCCATAGCAGTCTTCCTCCTGTTCTTGGCAGGGGCATAATTGGCCAGATCTGCAGCGATGACCCGACTGAGTGCACCCACAGCAAAACATTCCTCCCGAACCCCCAGATGCTCACACAAAGAACTGAGGCCTGACACCAGGCACCTTATCTGCAGCATCAGCTCTGGGGTCAGCGCAGTGGAATCCACCTCACCCAAGCTTCCCAGCCTTCTCTTGTCTGGTCGGGCACTATTAAGAAGATGTATATCCTGGGGTAGCAGTGGAAAAAGAGAAGCAAAGGCTGGAGTCAAGGCAAGGTAGGGAGCCACAGGAGAGAGCAACAGTGGCACATGCAGCACCTCTGCCGTGTAGTTCATGTTGCCCATCCACTCACACAGCTTCTCCTCCAGCTGCTCGAACACCGGTTGTTGTCCATCCAGCTCAGCCGCTGCAGCCGCTGGCACGTGGTTAGCCGTTAGATGAACAGCGTGGCTCAAGGCAGTGACCACTACACAATATTGGAAGTGACTGCGGCAGATGATGTCTCGCAGTGTCTCCACAGTTCGGCCTTTCAGCAGGCAGCTCAATACAAACACCGCCTTGGGCTGTGCGACATTGCCAACAACTGCATTGGGCTCGAACTCCCGTAGGTGGCACTCAGGACCCCCCACAGCCTCCATGAGACGTGTGGACCCGCAGCTCCAGTGCAGGCTCTCCGCGCAGGCAGCATCTAGGTAGACCAAGGCCCGTTTCACTTTGGCCAGCACCTGCTCCCAGCCTTGCAGCGTAAAGGACAGAACGCCCGGGGTGCTCATGGCTCGGGATTCGCACACACCGGGAACTCGGGTACAGGAACTTCTATTTGAACTCACGACTTCCGGAAGTTCCCTCAGACTTTGACAGTCAACACAGTGCACGTGGTTACGTAAGAAGACCGCGCGCGGTGATGACGTAAAGGAGAGCTGATTGGTTAATAAGGGGGCGCGCTGAGGAAGTGGGCGGGTCTGTAAACCTTTAGGCTTCCTGAAAAGATCGAGGGGCGGGGCTGAACCGCTTTGTCAGCCTTTCTGTATCCCGGCTACATTTCCCTACTACCTGAGAATTCTTGAGAACAATAAAATCTAATCTCAAGAGTGATATCTTTCTTGGGTATGAACAAATCTCTGAAAGTATATCCCCTTTCGCCATCTAAACTCTGAGTAGCCAGAGAAAATAATAATAACGGATTGCTGTGTAATATTTTGCAGTTTATAGTCTGCAATAATATACATTATTCACAAGAACATTAAAAAAAGAGAAACATACTGGCCTCATTTTAACTTTCTCTATCTTTTTCCTCCAGCATCTCGTTTTGGAACCTTGATCTGCTTTAAAACTACTAGAATCTGGTGAAGGGGGTGAAGGGAGGGCAGGGGTATGGGGAAAAAATAAGAACCAAGACATATCATGTAAAGGTACAAGATCCCAAAGATAAATGTAACTATTGTTTGCTTTAAATGTACCAAAAAACTTAAAGGGAGGGAAGAAAATTCCTACAATCTGTTTCTTCCTCTGTATTATTGCTGCCACCTCGGCACAACAAATAGCTCATCAGAACAATTGCAATGATCCCCTGTCACTTCTTGCTTTGCATCTCTTCCTGCTCCAATTCAATTTTCTTCCTAATAACGAAGCTATATCTGTTATTTTCCTGCTTAAAAGTTTCACTTAGACCAGTTGCCTACAGGACAAAACCAGACTCCTTGAAAGATACCAAAATCTTTCATGATTCCTCAATTTCTCTATTCTTAGCCTGGAACCAAATGTAACCACACACTGAAAACAACACGTTGAGCAGAATGTTCATAAGTTCAATTTTTCAACCAGTAATTATTAAGCACTTACTAGATATACTCTCTGTGCCAAGCTCCAAATATGCAGTGGGTAATACCGTAGTAAATTACACAATCTGATCCACCAAGAATTTATTCCTGATAAATTCTTACTGGCCCCCAATAATCTTTCCCTATTATACCTTCCAAGTAAATGTTTTCCTAACTCAGCACCTACACTAATCTGCCTCCCTCAAGCCCTGACACACAGCACTCAGTTGAAAAGTATACCTAGTATGTGCCTTGTTATTAGGTAACTTTTGACAGGTTTCCCTTTACTGTTCTACTAGACAGTACACTAGAGGCCCAGCATTCTCAAAACCTAAATGATAGCAGGAATTCAATAAAGATTTGTTGAATTTTCAACTAATATTCCTATAGTAATGCATTCAACAACTTTCATTGAACATGTATGATACTCCAGACATTGTGTTTGCACTCAGGATATAAAGTGATGTAAGATACAACCATGTTTTCAAAAGAAATGTAATAAAAAGACCAATACACATAGAACAAATAAATGCAAGAAAATGTCACAAAAGCAACAAATTTTTTAAAATGTGTAACAGTTATAAAAGGAGAAAAAATCTGACTGAGAAAAGGGGAAGTGGTCAGAAGAAGTTTCACAAAGTACAGAACAATGGCCTTCAAAGAAGATCAGGTGTTTGGCAGGTGCACAAGATAGGGAGTATTCAGCAGCCTAAATGAAGACATGAAACTTTAGAACATGTTCTTTAGAACCACAATAGGAGGGGACAGATCTCAGATATAATATGATCCAGGCATAGCCCCAAATGTAGACTGCTCAGATGAAGAGAATCATGAAGAGTATTGTCTAGTTAGACTCCAGAAGGTCCAAAAAATTATGAGATAAAGAAGTAGGTGTGAGTCATTCGTTATAGTACCTAATAGCAGAGAAAAGGAAGACTGTGGATTGTATATCCATGTCATCTATGAGTGAGGGGAAATGAAGAAAGAGTAGAGTTGGTTAATATGGATGGTATGAGCTGGGGGAAGATTTTCTCTACTCAACTAGTAGTGGCCCATTAGAGCCAAGAAAATGGCAATACTATCTCCGGGCTCCATGGTACAAACTGAAAGATAATGGTTACTCTGCAGTATAGAAAGATAAGAAGTGCTGTCCTTGGAGAGAGATTGGATTTCATTTTAAGTGAACAAGTGGATACATCTTTCTGCTTTGTTTTTTCTTTCTTTTCAGAGAATTGAAACCAAGATCTTACACACCTTAAGCCTGTACTCTGTCACTTAAGTACCACGGTTCCTTTCTGATGAACTACCTAGACTGTTGGGCATATACATAAAATGAAACAAAGGTAGTCATGCCATTATGGAATTAGAAAGAAATACAGAGGTTGTCATAATTCAGACTATTACAAGAAAAATACTGTGTACCAAATGGTTTCAACAGCACAGATTTTCTCACAGTTTTGACACCTGATGTGATAGTTGGCTTTCTGTTGCTGTGACAAAATACCTGATAAAATCAACTTAAAGGAGGAAAGATTTATTTTGGCTCACAATTTTAGAGGTTTCAGTTCATGGTTACCTGGCTCCCGTACTTTAGGTCTGTGGCGGGCAGAAACATTAGGTTAGAAGAGTGTGTGTGAGGCATGGATCTGCTCACCTCATGGCAGCCAGAAAACAGAGGAAAGAGTCAGAGAGGAAGTGGCCAAGGACTAGATTCCCAACATCATACCCCCATGATCCACTCCTTCAAATAAGCCCCTTCTCCTTTTTCTACCACTTCCCAATAATGGTATCAAATTTTGATCCCATCAATGGATTAATCTACTAATGAAGCTAGAGTCCTTGTGACCCAATAACTTCAAAAGCCCCAATGCATCAACACAATGAGCCTTCTGGAGGACATTTTAGATAACAATCATAACAGCTGGGAGGTCCAAGATCAAGGGTGCTGGGATGGAATAACTCTGATGAGGAATGTCTTCTTGGTTTGCAGATGTCAGCTATCTTTGAGCTGTGTCCTCCCTTTGCAAAAAGCAGAGAGGGGAAGAAAGCTCTCCTGTCTCTTCTTATGAAGACACTGACCCCCTCCCATTATGGAGAACCAAATTACTTCTGTAGTTTCAAACACCATCATACTGGGGAATACAGTTTCAACACAAGAATTTTGGGGGAAGGGAGGGAAACACAGGCTGCAGTAGAGATGTGAGGGAAGGGCACTAAAGAGTTGGCAAAAAGTGATTAATGATGAGGTGATATAGAAGTCTTCTAAAAGTTGTGCACCACAATTATAAAATCACATCTAATTTGGCGGGTTACCAAAGCATGAAGGAGTTTGTAGGCCACATGCCAGGAAGCTTGGTTTTCATTTTACATATAAGAGTAAGGCATTGCCAGGGATTTGGCTCAGTGGTTCCACTGTCTGCCTTGCAAGCACAAGGGCCCGAGTTCAATCCCCGGTACCGGGGTCGGGGGGAACAGTAAGGCATCATTAAAGGGTTTTGTGTATTTGAATTGCAGTGTGGTAGTGGAAATAGAAGGCATAGACAGTTTGGGGGTGTATTTGTTATAGAAAGAACTAATAAGCTTTTCTAATAGATTTGTACAGGTAACAGAGGAACCAATGAAGAGAAAAAAAGATTCAGAATGATTATTTGTTGGGCTGAAACAATTAATTGGATGATGGGTATTGATACTAAAATGTGAAAGCCTAGTGAGCATGGCAGTGGGACAGTACAGATTTGGGAGAAGAATTCACAACTTTCATTTTGGACAGAAGTTTGAAATGCCTATATAACATCTGAGAGAGTTATCTGGTAAATCATGAGAGTCATACAATGTCCTAAGATCAACAAGTTAAAATTGCAAATACAAATTTGGGGGTCACTGGTTCCCAATTACATAGATGGTATTAAGAGTAATGGAAAAGGATGAACTGTCTTTGGATACAGGGTAGACAGAAATGAAAACAGGGCTGGGGATTTAGCTCAGTGGTTCTGCCACCTCCCTCACAAGAGCAAGGACCTGAGTTTGATCCCTGGTACAAAAACAAACAAACAAACAAACAAAGCAAAAAAAAACAAGGAAGAGGCCCTTTCTTGCTTTCAGATCTTATGTTACAGTGAAATGAATTTCTTCTAAAATCGTTTGCTGAAGATGCTCACATCTACCTTATTTAAAAAGATTTATGCTTCTGTACTGAAAAATAATCAGCAAATTGCTTCCATTCCTCATAAAAAAAGCATGTTTTCCTTTACCTTATTTTAAGGTACTCTGCAATCATGATCAGTGCTTGGCTTAAGGATCCACTAAGCACTTTATAAGTTCTCACATTTAAAAGGGCATGCAGCCTGCCTCTCAAACTCAAGGTCAAAAGCTCAAGCCCTGGTACCAAAAATAAAATAAAAGGGCATGCAAAGTTTACATAATAGTACAGATGTACATAGGCTATAACAATTTTTCCAGAAAAAAACTAGTAATATAAAATTTAGTGTTAAAATGTAGAGGGAGATGGCTCTTGATTCCTCTGTGAGGTACATGGAGGAAGGAATGCTCTATACATGTGAAATTGTTCTGATTGTTAAAAGAAGGAAAGGCCTAACCCAGAACACAATACTTTCTGGCCTCAATGCTTTAACATTTCAAACCTCATTGTATCCTTCCAAGAAGTCGCTATGAAACACTAATTTGATATTTCAATTTATTGATGTGGAAACTACAGAATATTGAGATATAAGCAATATATTGAAAATTGACAAAAAATAGCACAAGTAAGCCTAATGCTATATCCATGCAACAGACATTCATGAGTATTTACTTGCTGTGTAGGAGAAACTAAAAAAGACACTTTCTTACATGAACAACTCATTATTTTAATGAACATTTAATCATTTTAACTAGGCATTCCTTTCTGTACTCCACAGAGATAGATAAAGACAGATGGTTATTATTATTTTACTAAAGACAAATAGACTACAAAAATGAATGCACTTGCCAAATGCAAGGTCCCTGGTACCACCCCCAAAAAAGAATACAGATGGAAAATAAGTAAATCAGAATGCCTAAGGTCCCAAGTTCGAACCCTGGTACCACCCCCAAAAAAGAATACAGATGGAAAATAAGTAAATCAGAATGCCTGTAGTATTATAGTTTGATATGGTTATAAGTCATGAAGTAGGAGATGTATATAAAATCTTCAAAGCATTTGTCCTTGAAATTTCCTCTCATGAGTAGGGAGATAAAGACAGCATTAACTAAGGGAGTATATTTAGACAAGGAATTCGTTACTGGTAACAAGGAAGAAAGAGGCTTTTAATAGTCATTAATAGTGATTTATGGGCTTCTCTACTTGTGGGAAGCTTTATTTTCAAAGCTTCACTCAAATGGTACCTCCATCATGAAGATGACTCTTACATGGCAATTATTTTTCAATGATTCTGCAGTCCTGTTTTAGCAATACATAGAAAGGCAAGCTCCTTGATGGTGGCTGGAAGGAGATAGAAGCCCCTCAACAAAAGACAACTGGCTCTTCCATGAAACTACCAAAATTTGTTATAGATTCTTGGAATAATAAATAGAGAAATAAATAGATGAGACTAAGAAGGATTGCTTTATGTAGTCTCAACCAGTAAGTAAAACCTTCATTCCATTTCTTTTAGTAAAGGGTAAGATGACATCCTCGGTGTTATGTTCCACATAAGGAATGTAAAGGACAGATACACAAGATGTCTTATTTAAGGGAATATATGAAAAGTGAAAAATCTAAGATATATATTCAGATAATTACTGCTCAGTGTGATAAATGTATGCCATAAATGCAAAAGTTCTAGAAGGAGCTCTGTCCCTCTCATCCAACCCATAGCATTCGTCATATTGCCATTCTGTCCCTCCCTCCACTCCAGCAACATTTGGTGCCTCAGGAGCTTTGCAACTCCTAATCCCTCTGTCTGATAGTCTATTTACTCAAGAACACACCAGTCTTACTTCCTCTCTCCATTCAGGCCTCTATTCTTATATATAATTTTATTAGAATGGCTTTCTCTGATTAGTTGATATAAAATTGCACCCTCACCCCCACCTGCTTCATCACTTTGTTCTTGGCCCCCTTGTAGCTTCTTTCCTCATAATCTCTATCAACATGATATATTCCCTATTTATATGATTGTTGTTTGACTCCATTAGACTGAAAGCTTCACAAAAGGAAAGACTTTTTGAAACAGCTCCTTGCCGAATCTAGCTAACCTTGAAGAGTTCAAGAAAGATTTTTATAAAGGTGGTTATACTTCAACAAGATTTAGAAGAACTCAAGGGGTTATTCTTTTTTTTTCAGCTTTGAGTTTATTGGTACATTTTAGGGATACAGTACTGCTACATTCATTGTTGGGATCTTGTACCTCTACATGACAAGTCTTGATTCTCATTTTTTCCCCTTGTCCCTGCCCTCTCCCTTCACCCGCTCCTCCCCTCCCCATCTAAAAACACTTTATTTTCATCTTTTCATTATCTCACATTTTTTTCTTTTCTCAAGGGGTTATTCTTAACAGACAAAGAAGCTGGGAATAGCATGAAGAGACATGCTCAAAAGTAAGGAGAATTAATATCCTATGGCTTAAATCACTTGAGATAGTGTGGTTTGGTAGGATGTAAACACTTTGTGTTTCAATTATAGTGCATGTACATTTTCCCTGCAGGACAGTTGTTTACTACCCTTCTATCTTTCTCAGTGAATTGATACCTCTTTAAAGACAGTGACTAGGCTTTACTTAATGTCTGTATTTTCCAAATTCTTAAGACAGAGCAGCTATTCAATAAATGTCAAACAGATGGAAGAATATTCATTAGAGAGCACAAAATATCTATTCATTTATTTGTACAACTAAAGTGGACCCCCCCTTTTTCTGTTGAAAACTTTGTTTGAAAACTTTAAAACGGAAAGGAATGTAAGAGATACCTAACTCAACTCCCCGTTTTGTAGTTGTGTAAACGGAAGCATAGACAGAAAGGTCGATCACCCACAATCACAAATCTAACTAGTTATAATTGAAAACTTGAAACTCTGTTTGGACCCATCCTGTGCCATCTTTTCCTTGGAAGATGTGGTCTGAAAATTTAAGATTATCTTTTAAAAACTAACCATGCTATCATACAATTTGAAGAAACACTTTGAACTAATCGGCAAGTCACAAGGAACTTGAAACAGGGGTTTTTGTTTTTCACAAAAGTGAAAAGTTGAAAGCAACCTACGTATACGTCACTAGGGAAATAGCTACATTTACTTTATAACAGGAGTGCTATGGAAATTTTGAAGGACTACTAAATAATGAAGTTTGATACACTAAAATCGAAAATATCTTCACTGGTGATTTAACGTAAAAGAAAAGAAATGGCAAGCTTCAAGAATATACAAAGAGGACTGTACCTGTCAAGACTCCTCAACCTCTGGTTCTCCTATCGAAATATGACAGGTACAGTAAACAAAATTTCAGAACAATGCACTCCTAGCAGAAAAGAGGTAATGGATAAAGCAGGCTTTAACCTGAACTGCATCCGTTTTCAATGCAAGCGCAATGTATTACTCATATTTTACTTTTGCCTTTGTTGGCTTTTAAAACTAATTTTTTAAGAAACTCAACACTGATTATGTTTTCTCTATTTAACAGGTAATGTCTCTGTATCAAGTATGCACGTGAAGAGTGAGGCGTTTAGGAAGATTTGAAAATACTGTATAAGAGGTCCAAAAGGAGAGTAACATCAAGGGCAGAAGGGTACAATGGTGTAGCAATAGCGATAAAGATATTAGAGAGGAGACTGGGGGAGGGGAGCAGACGCCTCAGCAAGAAAACCAAGCCAAAAGGCCTGCGGGGAGCATGGGGGCGGGGCTAACTGTGCCGCGCATGCGCTACCAGCCCCAGGTGGCCGCCGTGGCGGAAGGGAAGCCACCTAGAGACGCTGCGCCGTGCGGCTTGATTGCTGCTACGCGTGCGCAGACGGTTCCGTGCCTGAGTCTTCGTCTTTGCCTCCTCCGCTGCTGCCTTCCCTGGTTTTGAGTCTCGCGTTTTATTGATTCGCTCACTGCTGGGCTCGCGCCCCGGGCCAGGGAGCCCGGGGAAGAGGCTGGAAAGAGCTGTTGACCTCCGTCTTTAAACCGTGCGCGGAGCGGCCATGTCGGCCGGCGAGGTCGAGCGCCTAGTGTCGGAGCTGAGCGGCGGGACCGGAGGGGATGAGGAGGAAGAGTGGCTATATGGCGGTACGGAACTTCCTGTCCCTGTTTCTCTCGGATTTTCTCAGGCCTTACCCCCCGCCCCGCAGACGGCCAGTATCCCTGACTCACC